GTGCTATTTTCCTACTTTTGTACAAAGAGCACAAACACACTGTTTTCGATAAATGGATTACTTTCTACTGATCTCTTGATATCCTACTCGCACCAATCCACGAACGAGAGCTGTAATCCGATTGGCTACTGAAGCAAAAATGGCGGGAATCTCGCGTGTTCGGTTTTATCTCTAAGAAAACAAACATAATATCTAAAAATAAACAAAACTCTCAACGAAGTGCAAAACACAGGCTTTCATTAATGAGGAGATAGTGTGAAGAATGAACACACCGGAGTAGGGTAGAGTGAAGTAGAGAGAATAGAGCACTGTTCTCTTTGCAGTTTATGTTGTTCACAGTTGTTACCAAAGATATAATGATAACATTTGTTTTGATTTCTCCACTGTATTTCGATTTGAATATTGTGCGTTGAGAAGAAAAAAAATATTGAAATAAAACTGTTCGAATTGTTTTCGGAACATGTCTTCTAATTCAATTTTTTTTCATCCGCCACAGCATACAGTGTACCACTTCGAATGCACTTTCATGGAGTGGTCAACAGAAGGACGATTAATTAATATAAGGGAATTAGAGAAGTGCCGCAGGGACCGGATTTCCATAATGTGAAATGTATGTCTTACAACCTGAGCCGTGAACTGTGGTTGTGTACAATATTGACGTACTACTGTGATTGTCGATATATAACTCATTGTGAACCGTGATTTGGTTTCTGATATTGTTTTTCAGTTCATTTGGCGCGAGCTTGCCGGCGTCGTGTATAGTGACAAATCCGTACTACGTTACGTTCTACATATGGGCTTTTGTAGATCATGCTATCATTTTTTCCCTGCATTTTAGCGAGGCAAAAGATCCAGAAGTATCAAGCATTATTCCAGCATTTTAGTGGAGTTTCCTCGAATAATATTTTTTCAGAGAAAATAATAATTTTGTATTAGAAAATGGATTTCAAATGCCACCTTAATACAGCCGTGTTGAGAATGAGGAGCAGTCAGCGGTTAAGAGTCAAAGGCGGCCATGTTTGTTTTCGCTCACCTGTGACTCTGTTGTAAATAACACTCCTGTACGTTTCGAATTCGTCTTTAATTCTAACGATTCACTTAAAACCAAAATAACAAAT